TTGATTGGACACTACAAAATTTATATGACAATCATGATGTCAATCTTCCAACTAACTACTTAACGTAATTATGCAGTGCTTATGCATTCAAAAGAGATCGAAAGTCTCATTTTAGCCTCAGTTAGATTGAGGTAATTTCTAAAGTAAACACTCAATGACAGAGGCGACTCTCAGGTGCACGTCGTAAATAACAAAGCTGCACTTCTCACAAGTCGCGACATTTCAAACTCTTTAGAATGAAAAATATTGCGTTGAAGCTAATTCTAAACGAAATTAATTCGTGATAATTAACTTCTGCCTTTTTTCCGGGTTAATTTTGGCAACTAAGGGCCTCTCCTTATGACCGGGCGGGCCCGGTTTCCGAGATCACGCCTTTCCTTTAAATCCTTTCTAAAATTTCCGATGTGTTCATATGAGGGGGTGACCTGGCTCGGTTACCGAGATCTCGGTTTTTCCAAACGGGATCTCGGTAAGCGGGCTGAAAAATGTTGTCATATGAACACTTCATCCCGGTTACCGGGATGAATTCTCAGCAATAAAGTGTCAACCTTCGTAACGAATAATTTCGCTTCCGCAATACGGCGGCCCGAATGGCATCGTTTTCCTTTGCCTAATGAATTTTCCACATCGTTAGCAACCCGTTTTACTGCAGTGATACAGCTAAAAGGTTTGCCAAAGCCATGATAGGCGCAAATGTAATATCTCGGTTGCGTTTCGCCATCTTTGCTTTGTTTTTCTAATTTCGCGGCAAAACTCGTCCCCAGGATCTTCAGCCTTTTCTCACCTCGGAAACTGGGCTGAATTTCTCATATGAAACCAAGGCGAAATTCTTCCCGGTAAGCGGGCCACCCCAGTCAACCGGGCTCCTATGAAGAAGCCCTAAATGTTTCCAATCATTTTTATCGGTGTTTACGCATACGAAGAATGATCTTTAAGTCTATTATTTCTAACTTGTTGCATGCCAACTGAAGCCGTTCTTAGTTCCAAATGGCTCGTGTACGGTTAAACATCGAAGCTGGCTTCCCGAAACTGCAAAAATAATTCGTTTCATTCCGAGGTAGCAATGTGAAATGAAGACATCGCGGGTACTGCGTTCTTCTTTAGTAAAATAACTATCACTCCAGAGCTAGGATTCAGTCTCACCATTATGAAGGCCCCTGATCTAGGATCAAATCAAAATTGACAAAAGTACAACGTTTCTTGAACAGAACCTTCCTTCACCCCCCAGAAAACAAAAGTGATGGCCTTAAAATTTACTTGAATTTTATCTTTCATAGAAAATATTCAAATTTATTTTGGACAAAATAATTTGAAAGAACATCATAGAGAGAATCCTTGGATTTTTTTTTATACCCGAAGGAGTTGTATAACTTAAAGTTATAAAAGATTAACTTCCTTACAAACACTTCGGTGTTGCATTTGAAATTGCTGAGGCTGACACCGCCGACTACTTTCGTTTGAAGCACTTGACTAAGTGCATGCTGTAAATATTATAAGCCTTGTGTTTGTAACGAATTTGTATAAAGAACTCTACATCAATTTAACGAAATTTGGAACAGTGATGCTTCCGAATAATTTTGAAGAGAGAATTTTATTTTTTAGAATTAATTAGTTAAAAATCAACCAATTAACCCTAACAATTACTTAAAAATTAACTGTTCACTTAACTTTTCCGTTATGTCTCTGTGATATTTTTGTTACTGGAGTAGCGGTGTGTTGATGTCAATGGAAAATTGATGATTTTTAGGTTTAGTTCCAAATCAAGGATGTTATTCTGTTCACATATCGCGTTCTCTTCCCCTGTTGTGTGACGGGGCATAGAAACAGCTGGGAAGAACACTGGGTCTAGTTTGCGTAGTTTGAAAAACCTTCTTGAAACTCGGTAAGTTTGCCTGACGTCATGTCCAATACCAAGGCTCCTCGACTAATATTGTTGAGAAACAGTTGCGGAACAATGGCGCAGGTCCGTAGTAATTCTGAATTGAGACATTCGACACACTTCGACACGACGAAGGGATTGGTACCAAAAAAAGCGTGAAAAACCTGTTTTACTTTCGTATTTTATTTTCATTCAATTCCAGACAGCACTGTTCTTAAGCGTAAGGTCAATGTCCAAGTTTTTTTTCTTTATTGTTGTTCTGAGGTCTATAGGACTCTCATTTTTTTAACAAGAAAACACTTGCTTAATGATGTACTAGTGATATCTTAATATCAGAGGTTGGCATGAACTGCCAGTACACCAACCAAGAATGGTCGACCAGACTACACAACAGGATCTTCTTATAGAGCAGAGGCAAGCGACACTAATCCATTAGGGAGGGTCTTCTCTCTTTAAGGAGCGTCCTTCTATGTATCTTTTTCCGTAATAAACATCACAATTTGATTTGATTTGATTTGGTATAGGGGCCTGTACCAATTGGGATCTTGGTTTGGAAAATGACAGAATTTCAGATGGTGACATAGCTGCTTCTTCTGAACGAAATGCCAGGACACCAGCCAAGAATGGTCGACTGAACTACACATTAGGATCATCATGGTGTGCAGGAACAAGTGACACTATCCCATATCTACAGATTGATCTACAGACACTTCATATCATCTGTGCTGTGTCCACTCAAGGGAATTCTCGAGCAGATCAGTGGGTGAAGAACTACAGACTACAGTTATCAACAGATGGGACAACTTGGACAGACTACAGGGAAGGTGGAAAGGTTAAGGTATGGTGAATAGTGGATCACTATCGTGAAGAAAGAATACATGTTATTTAATAGATAAAATGACAATTTTAAAATGTTTTTAAACACATGCTGTTTTTTAATAACAAAAAAAAGTCATATCATAGCATTAAAACTTATTTTCCTTTTTCATACACCAAATGAAACAGACTTATTTAAGTTACAACGCACATAATTACTGCCTTTTAAAAATGGAGCAAATGCCTTAGAAAACGCAATCTTATTGATGGGAAACTTAAACAAGCCAATTGATGGTATAATAAATTAACTTTACAACTTTGCATTAGTGGCAAACTTTTGTAAAGTATCGGACTGGGCGACGGTCATTTCCATTTTTCTTATTTGCTGGAAGCCAAAGTTCTGTTTGTCTACCAAACAACTATATGACAATAAATGAAGCAGGACTGGCAACCCTGTAACAGTTCATTTTGAGATATATCATGTCAGCCTTGAACTTTTCGTTTTTAGTTGATTATGTCCGGTTTGCTTTCATTTGATTTGTTTTGGTTTCGCAAAGTACACCCGTGACGTCCTATCTACTTGCTTGCAGGGTCCATATACCTATACTACTGTATTTCATAACTTTTTAAATCTTAGGTGTTCATGGGAAATGATGACAGAAACTCACAAGTGAGGCATGTTGTTTATGGACTGCTGACGAGATATCTGCGATTCCGACCACAGGCATATCAGGGTGGGATGTGTATGAGAACAGAGGTGTTTGGAGTGGAGCAAAAGCCAGGTGTGTTTGTCAATGTGACTTTTGCACGAGGATGGCCAATAACACTAGTGACTGTACATGTAACAACGGCGACAGGTATTTTTACTCTTTTTCACTTGCTCAGAAAGCTCAGGACTGCTCCTTTGTCAGTACATTTCAGTTTACTCTCACCATTATGCATTCAAAAATCACACAATTTGATTAGAGGAAACAAAAAATACTGTATTTTAACCGAAAAAAAATAATGTAGAAAAGTAAAGAGAGCTCACCACTTAAAGATCCTTGACCAGAAAAGATGACCAATCAAAGCGCTAGGAAAACCTTGGTGAAGAGGCTGAAAACCTCTGGTGTCCCAAAGTGTGAAATAAGGAATATTACACATCAACCCAAGGTCTCCAAGGGAGACTGGCGAGAACATGAATAATCTTAAGAATCATTGACAATCCAAAAAGTGCCATGAGTCAGCTGTCACGACAGAATTCGTCCACATTTTCTGTTTCATATGCTTCAAGCCATCCTGTGTACAACTTTCAGTCACTTGTACGTCACTTTAAATATTGCTGGAGATAACTCAACAAGCATCAGTGGAACTGAACGTGCCTTCGAATCTGTCTAATTTTTAAACTTTTCTGAGTAACTTTTAAACGTTGAAAAAAAAAAAACACAAAAATGGCATAACTTTGCCCAGAAGTATTATACTTTTTATGTCATAAAAAAGTAATTCCATGTTGCCTCGTAACCCATGCAAATCAATACGATTACCTACACAAATAAAACGGGAAAGAAGCGTAAAGAGTTATTGCGGAATTAGCTGATGGTGACATTGGAGGCCACAAATAAACCTTTTAATGGATAAGAGTGATCTAAGTTTCTGACCTCGAAAGTTGTCTGAATCCTTTCGCAGCCACAGTAAAATATAGAAATGATACATAACAGTATATTTTAAGACCCTGAGTGGTGATTATAAATGTCTTTAAACAGCATGTCATAGTCCGGCCATTGGTGTGGCTAGAAATGATGCAATCCCAGACAGCAGTTTCTCAGCCTCAACACATTATAGTCGTTGGTATACACCTTGGTTTGCTCGACTGAAGAGAAATAAGTCGTATGACCGTGGTTGGGCACCCAGATCTACGGATGATCTTAATGACTACCTACAAATTGATCTGCTGTATGACTATGTTATCTGTGCTGTTGCTACTCAAGGAGCCAGGAATATTGATGAGTGGACAACGAAGTACAAGATTCAGTTATCTTTGGATGGTGCCACTTTTAACATTTATAAAGAAGACAACACTGAGAAGGTCAGTTTGATGTAATTAAAACATCATGCTAAACTTGGTTGAATTTTCTAGTTTCTAAATTTTTCGTAGTTTTTTTACATTTACTTACATAAAATACAGATGCGTTCGCAAGACCTCGAGGCTCAGTTCTCGATCCTTGATTCTCAAACGTTTTGAGAGTCGAGCATCGAGACTGTCACCATACTTTTGAGCAGTGCTGCACATGTACGTACAGTGCACGTGTATATTTGAAATTGAATTTGAATTCGCACCATTTATGGATGCTTATGTGGTCTTGAGAACATTTGCCTCACAACTAATTGAGGCAAAAACCTAATAAATGTTCATTTTCATTTATGCTGACTTGCGTTATTTTTGTATGACCTTTGTAATTTTAGGTCTTTAATGGTAACTCAGGCAGAAATGACATAGTAAAAAATGATCTGAGGGAGTATGCATTGGCAAGGTTCATCCGCTTCGTGCCAACAGCGTATCATAATTATAAGGTATTGAGAGTGGAGGTTTATGGAATACTCCTATCTGCAGGTACTGATTCATTTTCTCCGTATGATGTAATTAAAATGCTCCAAGCAGTGTTGGGAAGAATTGGAAGAGAATATCAGGACCTAAAAAAAAATTGGAAATGAATTAAAAAATCAGTGAAGAATGTAATTATATATGCTTGTTAGACCTACAGCAAAAATGTTTATGCCTGGGGGAATTATTTCACAAATGATGTAGTGATACACCTTCTAAAAGTTTTGAAATCATTCTCATACGTTAGGCAAATACTTTTTCTAGTACCATAACTTTGAATTAAATATACTTCTAAATTTGATTTAAAGCAACATACACGTGTGTTCTCTCTATACAATCTAGTAGAAATTTTATCTTTACACCTTTTGACAATTACTATTATAAAGTATAAACAAAGGAACAGGTTTTCTAACATAACAAACCCTGCATGTAGTTGTGGAACAAC